AAAAAAAAAAAAAACCGAGAAAATACAGAGAAGCTCCATTGAAAATACGACATTCATTATATACTTACACTTTTATTAACAGAATAAATAACAAAAAGGGAAATATATATATATATATATATATAAATATAAATATATGGGTTATTTGCACAATATTATAAATAATTACTATGTTTACTACGATTATTAAATTAAAGAGCAAATATAATAAGAGAATAAAAACTGTTGTTAAATAATTAATACCAAAAAAAAAAAGAGAGAGGGGGATGAGCGCGGGGAAAAAAAAAGAAATAATAATAAAACGATTTACGCTAACGATCGACATTGGGTCAAAATGGAATGCGAAAGGAGGACGCGATGAAATACGAAGATACGACGAGGAAGGGAAAATAAAGAAGAGAAGAAAAAGGAGGAGGATACGATTCGTTTGTTATCGATTAGTTAACGATCCTTACACATTATATTATTGTAATTATATAAAGTAAACGATTATTATCATAATAGTTACAATTAACAAGTTGTTACCGCTTTGTTATACATAATATAATTAATAATAAGATTAAAAAGTAAGCGAATGCATCGTTGATTCGTCCTTTACTTATGTAGATACTAAACAAAAAAAAAATACGATCGACTATATTGTTTTCAATGTCTTCACCGTATCTCTTCGTTTGCTACCCGATTTCATTTCGTTGTCGAAGATTCGGTATTGTCGGCTTACCTCGCCTGGCCACAATATAAATACACACGTTTTACAGAGATATTTTCAATAAACGAAAAAGCTTAACACTCACACAGTTGTATTTGTTCATTTTATTGTACCCCAAGAGATTCTAATCATCTCGTATATGTATTAATGAGAATGAACGTGACAGTGACAATACTTTGTTTTGTCAGATGTACATACTTGTCTTATCTCTCTTCAAGATTAGATATTTAACTCTAGAGTTATTTAAAGAAAAACTTATCAGTTTTAAGCAAATTAGGACATTAGAGTTCTGGGAAAAACATACTGCAGAAATATGCAAAAAAGCTTAGTAATATTTACTTTTATTTAACATTGTTGTTTCGCAATTGTTTAGAAGTAGATAAATTATACAAAGTAACTTCTTATTGAAGAAAAAAAAATGAATGCAAGAAGCTCAACTATAATCATTTATCACCAAATATAATAACTAAATATAAACTAAATATAATCACCAAATATAGATTAATATTAACTTTATCTCAATTTAATTTACTCGTTATTCTTTTTTAATTCTTGGAACTAGAGAGAGATAAAAAGTTAATTGAACAAAAAACGATTAAACTGTGTTAGTAAATAAGGCCCAGTTCCATTTCAATGTAAGATTGATTTCAATCTTTATTTAATGTACTTGTTTCTTAGAATTAGAAAAAGATAAATAATTTCTAACTCTTAGAATTAGAAAAGGAATAGAAAAATAAATAGTAAATTAAACCAAAATTAAAGTTAAACATACATTGATAGAAACATTGATGAGAATATAAAGCTCGAATCCACTAAAGTAAGATTAACTTTAATCTCGGTTCTATTTCCTGTTAATTTTTTCTAATTTTTCAAACCAGAAGAAGATAAGAAGTATAAGTTAAAAATAGAGATTAAAGTTAATCTACAATATCATAAGTTGAGATAGAAAATAGACATAAGGTCCGACTCCAGAAATAAAAGATAAATTTCGCAATCATGGTTTAACACATTATTTATCTTTTTCTAATTCTAAGAATCAGAAAAAATAAAGAGTAAATTAAATCGACCAGATTAAAGTTAACAATAGATCTGTTCTTTTTGACTGCGAACTTTCGCACTAGAGTTGCATATATCTTTCTTCCTTTTCCCTCCAGGAAAACGAGAAAGGTGCAAGAGAACCTCAGCCAGAAAGAACAGGCCTATTATTATGTTAGTCGAAAAAAGAACAAGTCCCGCATGTCATTATCACCCGAATATAGGATTCTACCCAGCCGACTCCGAGACGTGGAGGGAATGCGGCGGGAAACGTCTGTATCATACAGACTGCATGTATACGGTATATGTTATACCCTCAGTCGTGTGGCCGGTGGCGACGCGTGGGTGTCCGCCTGAGGATTTTTACAAAGATCACGCGTGGAGAACGAGCGAGCCGAGCCGAGCGAGCATGGGTGGGGTTCCGAGGACGAATCGCTGCTTCGCTGACTTCGTTCCTCTCCTCGTAAGTTCGGTGCGAGCCGTGCGAGCAGCCGGTCTGGTACCGTCGCGTCCGTCGTGCCTTTTACGAGCGTTGGCGCGACGCTCGCCGTGTAATGGCCGTTCGGTGTGTGCCGTTGCGAGTCGGATACGGACTTCCTCCTGCGTAAGATGGACGTTTCGAGGTCACTCGGGCCTTCCCGCTGCTTCTGAGAGAGCTGTCGAATCCAGTGAAATCGGAGCGGTAAAAGAGATAGAGAGAGAGAGAGGGAGAGGCGTCCGCGCGACGGTGACGCTGTCAAAGATCGTTCGAGGGTGCGAGAGGTGCGATCGAGACGACCGTCGTTATCGCTCGATTATGAACCGTCCGGACAACAACGAGCACTGACCTCGCCTTGTTCCGCATGCAGCTGAACGCGTCGCCGTGGCTTCGATGAACGAGTACCCGCCGCTCGTCGTGACTCGTTATTCGCGACTTGGCGCCCTTGGCGGATCCGGGAAGAAGTCACACGTCGATTTCGACATCGGAGGTTAGTGCACGGCACAGCAGGCGATGGTGTATTTATAATCGGAGCGAGTGAGCGCGGACGAGTTTTATCGCGGGGGCTCCGACGTTTTCTAAGAACGTCGAGCCGAGCAATCGAACACCTACAGATGTGTTGCGTGCGTGAAAGACGCGTCCTCGGATACCTCGCGAGGTGGATTTTCCGTTGAGAAGAACGTTCGATTATTCTGACACAAATGAGACCCGAAGAACGGTAGCACCGAACACGTGGTCGGCAAGTTTGTATTGTACTCGGTGAATGTGTTCATTGAATACAATATGTGGGAACCTGTGAAACTTTAATAACGCCTTACACTTTCTATATTCTTCTCGTTAAGTATTCAGTGCGTTTATGATTTCCGCAATTAACATTACAAATTACATTAAGAAGCATTGATGGTATCTAGAACTGTCGAAGGTGCCAATTTTTCCTACAATTTTCTTACCTCTGTTTTCAGTCGATGAAGGGTTTAGTTTGATATTATTCTTCTCAGTACGCACATTAAGCCTGCACATTTCTATTCTTTGAAAAGAAAACACTATAGAAACACCTGGCTACATAATAGCAGAACTGGGCGTGTATTTAAAATACTTTTATTTGAAAAACAGTATTTGTAAGACAATTATATTGTGTTTTGTATTTCAGTGGAGTACACATGAAAATAATCTGCATTTTATAATTTACGGAAGTATATAAAAGTATTTTACATTTTGTAACATTGACGAATTTACCATCCTTAAAAAACAGTTATTCGATTAACATTTCCATGATTGATCTCTGCAGGATTATATCAAGATATAGATAATTAATAATTAAAAAATTAATTTTCTGTTTTTTTTCTTCTTTTTACTCCTTTAACTTTAAAATTAATTTATTTAGTCTGGAAATTTATATATCTTGACATGAAAAGGACGAGTTCAATTGTAACTCATAGAAACAAGATTGAATTTAATTGGGACAAGAAATGCGAAACACTTTAAAATTTGATTTATTGTTACGAAATACAAATGAACTTGGACAATAATATGTAATGATTCAACGATTGACAAAGTAACATGAAACATTAAGTATTATCTTAAGAGAATTTAAATTCTCAAATATTGACTTGCGCATATGATGCCTTTTAATTGTATATTATATTAATTTTAAATAAATTTTTTAACTATTATTATTGTATACTGAAGATGGCCAAATTTAGGGCCGAAACGTCTATGTACTTTTAATTAAATTGTTATAAATAATTTAGTTACAGATAATTTGCTCTAACAAAACCTAGTGTGTGGTATATGCTCGACCTTTCTTATTGTTTATATTTTGTATTTCAGTATTAATAATAAAAGATTGAAAGTATTTTGTATTTTAAATGTTGAGATATTGACGATTAATGTTATTATTTAAATTATAAACTACATGAAGCTTTTAACCTTTCAATTTTAAATACAAAATATGTAATACTTTCATGTACACCGCTGAAATATAAAATATAAAATTTACTTTTATTGCAAAAAAACTGTGTTTTAAATAAAAGTATTATAAATACTTGCCCAGCTCTGCGTAATAGTCCTTATCCATTTCATTTTTTATTTAAAAAATGAAATACACAATTACTTTTTAAAGATGTTAAGTACTATAAATAATTTTTATGTATTTGTGAAGAAATTAACTAAACAATCCAGCGTGTATTAAAAGCATTTTGAAGTCATTTTGACATTATTTTGATACCATATTGACTTGCTCTGCTTGAGATTCTGCACTATACATTTAATAGTATAAAAAAGAAAAAAGTTGAATATTAGCATAGCCAAAATGACATGATTCTAGTGTTAATTTGTGAAATTAATGTAGTAATTTTGGTTTCTGAAATAAAATTGTTAAATTTAAGTTTAATACTCTCTCTCATTAAAACGAATTATAATACATTATTGCGTAGAAATTCTCTCTCAATTATAAATTAAATTAATATTTTTATACCCGGTGAATGAATTCGTAGAATGTATAGGAACGTACAAAACTTTAATTCAAATTTTAGTAACGTTTCATACTATCTATATTCTTTTGTTAAATATTCACTGCATTTATTTCGATTTCCTCAATTAACATTACAAATTACTGTTTTGAATTTATGAATGTAGTAATTCGATGTAATAATTTTTGTTTCTAAAATAAAATGATTGAATTTATGCTTTGACATCCCCAGTGGAATGTATTATAATGTATCATTGCGTGGAAATTGAAAATTGTGAGAATTAACAAAATATTTTTCTTTCAGATATTTTAACACTAAGGAAATTTGGTGATATCTACTATGGAGAAAAAGGGATTGCGCAAAAAAGATATGTTGAGGATGGACGGTCTCCTGCCTCCAACCCGGCGTTTACCAGTTTGTGATGCAGTACCCAGTGCCTCGGATAAGAAAAAGGATAAGAAATGGTCTATAGGTGGAATTCTGCGACGAATATCTTCGATAAAGGACTACGACAGTTCCTCTAATGATGAAGAGATCGTCTACTGCAAAAAAGCACCGAGGAAGCCTGCAAAATTCAACAAGCAAGTCGATGGTGTCGTTCTTCATTCGATAGAAAATAATTTGGAGCACGATAAATTGATGAGAGTCGAAAATAATATTCGCCATGTAAAGGAATCCTGTCGAGACTCGTTACATTCACGTAGTAGCGACGGTTCGTTAGATGGCTTTGGCAAAAAGTCCCGAAAGAACAAACTGAAAGCTCGAGCCGAAGCAAAGAGGGATCATCTGTGCGCGGGCAGCAGTTCCGATGAGGATTGTAACAGATCTAGCAGTTCGCTGAACAAATTTCACGCGGATAGCACGCAGAATGGCCAGAGAGGTAATAATGTGTGCAGTAGGAAAACTCGCGCTGCTCGAACGGAGCGTTACATCAAGCGCTTATCTCGAGACGAGGGCAATGGCAGCGGTGATACTTTGAACGAGCTATATAGCAAAAGGTGTTCCTCAGACTATATCGAAGATAAGGAACGCGCTGTTTACGCTGATACGAACGGACTGTGTCGCCCGCCCATACATCCACGTCGATCGGTCGCGTATTCAAACAGTCGCGTGTATCCAATTAAAAAATCCTCCGCGGAAAGTCTGCGAGATGCGGAACGCGTGAACTTGCAGCATCTCGAAATTTTCGGCGACATCAGGAGATATTCTACAGGTCAATACATCACGGATTTGAATCAGAACAACACTTACGGGAAGATCTCGCGACATCACAGCGGCGACGTGTACACGGACAGCCGTCGAGCTGGAAACTTCTTTACATATCCCGCAAAAAACGCGTGTCATTACTCGGAATCGTTCGATTGTGTCGTCGATCGCCAATTAATCAATCCGGACAATCAGCCACCCGAGCCACCCCCGAGGGATCCTCGTTATCGCTCGTTCGGCTACAGTTCCTATCCGATGAACAGACACCAAAATGTGCCAAATTACTTTAAACAAGAAGACAATAAGACGAACGTTGCAAGCGGAATGTCGAGACCCGACTGGAGAAACTTTCGATCGTACGGATCAAACAATAAGATTGTCTGGCGCGATACGATGGAATTTAAACCAAGAAATTCGATGTCGAGTCCGAAAACGGAATTCCGTAATTCGTTGGAGCGTATAAATAATAAATATAACTCGAGCTATCACCGCGCGAACGAGTCGGCTTACAAGGAAATCGAAACGACGAGACGCAGAAACATTCGCAACGATCAGCTCAATCGCATCGACGCGAATTACCACGTATACAAGGCTAGGAATAAATCAGCGAACATCTGTGAAACGAATAAACATCACGAGGCAATTTCATCGCGCTTGTCTGCGTCCGATTGGTCATCTGGAAGACCTCCTTGTGAGCAAGATAATTTGCATATCATTACTTTCTCGACCTATGACGTCGATAATTGCGCTGAGAGGAGCAAAAAGGAAGACAACACAGGAGTAACACCGACGGACGAAGCTTTGGAAAGACGCAGAAGCTCGAAGAACCTTGAAGAAGCTCTGTCCGAACTGGAAGCGATATACAACAGCCTTCGCCTCGGGGACGAGGATTTGTTGGATCGCGCGGAACGCCGAAGCATGGAGGAGTACAATCAGAAACTAAGTAAAAGTGAGCTCGACGCGACTGTGATCGCTGCAGATTCGCCGGATAGGACGAAGGATGACATGGCTTACCGGAGGATGCATCCCAAGGAGAGACCTACATCACTCTCGGACATCGCGGGACAATCGACTCTATCCAGCATAAGTTATCTCATCGCCTCACCTGTCCTCTCGCGAAGGGACTCGGCGGATGATCTTGTGCGCTTGCCAGCGACCTATCCGTCTCGTCGAGACGAGCCGGACGTGACTCGCGACGACGTGCTCTTCCGCAGTATAAATCATGCCAACAATACTCTTCGAATAATCGATCCGCAGCCACCGTTCGGTATACCGCTCGGGCCGGTCAGTGCGGCGACCGAGAGCGATTACCTGCACACGACGCCGACGAAATCGGAACAGCCGCGCTCGTCGTACATACCGCAATGTGAGCCTGACGTGATCACGGACGATTTGGCTTACAGGGCCCTTAGGAAGGATGTTGCGACGCGGAACGTCACGGAGAGTAAGAGCGACGTCTCGAGATCGGAACAGTTGGAGGCCGCTACTCGCAGCAAGAAACGCGCCGTTAGATCGCTATCAGCCAATCTTTATGGACTGATCAATCACGATCGAATTCACCTGCAACGCGAGCATAGTCTCGACGCTATCAAAGATGAAATCCAAGTTGTTACGAGGAACTCGGCTGCGACGTCCGAGCGACCGGAATATTTCAGGCGCGTTGTGAGCGACGGCGAGCTGTCTGATAACGATGCGCATAGGTGGAAAGAACTGGCAGTTAAAAGTGATATCGATATCAACGGCAACCATCCGGCGGTGGGCGCGTATCGGAAGAAGCTGTGTGCCTACGTATCACCGGAAACGACCACGCGGGAATGTCCCAAGAAGGAGAAGGAGTCGGGTGTCACAGAGCTATCCGACGTCATGCTGTCTTCAAAGGCCATCCTGAACGACGGATTTTGGCACGAGTACCTACATTCGGATTCCAACGTTTCGGCAGCCAATAACGGTCGCAACACGGAGACGGACTTTACCGCGTACAGTCGCCTCTGCCAAGATTTAGTTAATTTGATAAAAGGCGACGATGACGCGGCATCACCGAACGCAATCGAATCGCCGAAGGTGGACGATTCTGTCGTTGCTGATAAGTCTAACGGCTTCGACGCCAAATTCGAGATCAACGAACCTCCGGCGAGCGTACGCGTACGCTCTCTGGGTAGTCATTACTTAGGATCGCAGTTTGCCAACGACGAGCGGAATGTCGAGAGCGAGAAAACGACGAGCCCGACCGATTCGAATTCCACGAGGTCTTTGTCGGACTCGACGCCAGCAGCCAACAACCTTGATTTCTATCTTCGCGTGGCGGACGAAAACGTCAAGCTGATCGCCGAGGCTTTCGGCAACGTGGCCGACCAACTGCGCGACAGTCGTCTCTCTACCCTGAAGAATTCTTCAGTGTCTCATGGCTCCGAGATCGAGGACCGAAGCGGTAGCGTGCGGAGTAGCTCCACGCCGTACAGTCAAGATGAACCAACGAGCGACGATCGGCCTATCGTTAGTCCGAGACTCGAGGAGACTGTCTGTATAGCGTCTTCGAAACGCGATTCCTTGATGAACGACGACGGGGACCAAGGTAACGCCAGCCAGCTCGAGGACGCTTCTACCGACGACGCGGAGCTGGACTTGTCCAGGGCCGTTCGCGATCTGCAACTCGCCGCGGCCAGTCTCTACGAGCACGAGAAGGAGATCGAGAATCTGGGTAGCAGATACGGGAGAATCCGCGACGCGACGCCGTTGTTTGCCGCCGCCGTGAGCAACGCGGACGAGAGCGAGGACGACAGCGCGGTCCACAAGATCGATCTGATCGTCGACGGGCTGAGGCAGGAACGGGAACGCGATCAGGAGGAGACCGTGGTGCTGCCTAGCGGAATCGAGGCGCGTCGCGGAGACGCGCCAAGCGAGGGTAGCGAAGGTGAGCGCACAATGTGCGAGCTTGTTGATCGCACGAGATCGCGCCGCGCGGGGAACGACGTGTACGTTTCCTGTGTCACTAACCCCTTAACCGTCCCGGTAACGACGTACACCACGCTCTTGCTCGCTTGTCTCCTTGCATTGCTTTTAGCGATCGTAGCGGCGGCCGTGAGGGGCCGTCCGGCCGATCATTAGCGCGAATGGGATTTTCTGTGTTCTCTGTGTGTGTTTTGCGACTGTATACGAGGACCGCGTATACCGTTTCACCGCGCCATCGTCCTCGTATCGACGGCAATGCCTCTAATCCTGTGTGTTCATTTGCAAATGTTACTAATGTCGCAGGTCTCCAGGCGTTCGCTCGTTCGCAGTGACGATCGCTCGAGCTGGACGTGGTCGGCAGTGGTAGGGTGATGACACGAGGCAGTTTGATTTTTTGTAAGATAATAAATGAGAGAATACTTAGGGGGAGAGAGAGAGAGAGAGAGAGAGAGAGAGAGAGAGAGAAAGAGCGAGGGAGGCAGTTGCCGCGGGCTGTTTGAGGCACATCGACTTGTTGTTGTTGCTCTTGTTATTACATATGTTGTTGGTTTTAATAAAGTTTAAATGTTAATCCTGCCCATAATGTTACTGTAATTTTACTGCGCGTAAATACATATGTCCTCGCAATCTGTGATGCAATCCATTCCACGCGGCACGCATCGTGGAAATGCTCGGAATGGATTCCGATCGGGATTATTTTATTTCCTCTACAAAAGAATATAGAGAACAATTGAACAATTCCGATTAGAATCTATTCCGAATAATTTTACGATGCGTCCTTATCGGATGTTCTGATTCCTTTTTCGATGTTAATCATTAATGTTTGTTTGCGTTATTTCAATATAATGTTTATCAGATTCAGAAATTATAAAAGAAATATTAGATCGTAGGGACTCACACGTTTCTCTTCGATAACTCTAATATTGAAGATTCTTGAGTTTTTATTTTTTATATGAATACAAAGTGTTCGATAGGAAGAAAGAGAACATTAAAAAAATAACTCTAGATGATAAAGTAAGATGAAACCGTGAATAACAGATTTGTGAATTTTTGGCTTCGTTTTTTAATTATAAATATTTAAACATTATGTGCATATTTACGTGAATATTTAAACTTTCAGAATTGTAAAATGAAGAATAAAACAATTTCGATGGAGGCTTTGTTTTTTAATGGAAAATGTCTAAATATTTATGTGCTTTAGACATGAATATTTAAATTTTTACACTGTTTACTTGAGTATTAAAATTTATGATTACAAAATAAAACCGGATTTGCAATTTTGTTATTCATGATTTTCGTCTTTATCAACTAGAATTATTACTTAAAATTTTCCCTTATCTTTTATTGAACTGTATACGTATACTGCGTTATTTCAATTTCGTTACAGTATTTATCAGGAATACAAAAATTAAAAGAAATATTAAATCGTAAAAATTTGCATTATTTTTCGATAGATAAGATTATATAGATGTTTGTTGAGTCTATTTTTTATGTATTATTTATATTACGTTATTTTAATTTCGATGCAATATTTATCAGGTGCAGAAATTAAATGAAATATTGAATCGTAAAGATTCGCATTATTTTTCATATGACATTATCAGAAAAGTTCTTCATATTATTTTTTATATTTTATGCGTGCATTGCGTTACATCAATTTTGTTAAAATATTTATCAGATACAGAAATTATGTATTATTTACTTGTAATATTTCGTTGTATAATTTCGTTATAATATTTACAAAAATTAAAAGAAGAATTTAGTTATACACTGAGCAAAAAAATTATTCATTTCACTATAAAACAATTAATTTGTTTTCATCTTTCGATATTTAAGGCAAATATAATATGTTTGATTTTTAAATTTATATTCTTCGTAAAAAAAAAACTAAATTAATTGAGTTAAACGAACAATTTTTTTCTCAGTGTTGAAACTCTAGTTACTTTTCGATGAAGAATATTTTATTCGTTTCTCAGTTTTATTTTATATGTATATACATGTAATGTAATAAAAATATTTATATACTATATATAATATTACATCATGCAAACAATTCAAGTTTTGTTATTCCATCTTTTTTCTAAAATTATTACCGCTATACATTTTTATAGAGTTGAAATGTGCTTTATTTTTTGTCATCTTCCAGATAGTTCATGCCGACCACGAAACACGAATACCTTTAATCTGTATGCATGAATGTCAGCACTTTTTTCGATTAATATTTAACCGTAATCCCAAAACGCAACGTTCCGAGAAAACCGATCATACGTTCGATTGAATTTTTTTTCACATAGATATAATATGCGTGTACGATAAACTGTTTGCGCCGTCGATAAATATATACCTGCAGCAAATACATCTCTGCTCTTCTGGTAAAAAAAAACTCGCCGTTTAAATAAAGAGCGCGCGAGAACGAACGACGTTGAATCTTAGCGAAGTGCGCTTCCATCAATTTTAGAGCCACGGCTGGCGGACCCGTCCATTTGCTGGATTTCGCGATTCGGTCGACGGTGGGAAAAAAAATCGCGAGCCCGCCTCGTGCCATCGATCGCCGGTGCATCGCGTCAGCGTGAAATTCGTGCGAACGTAGCGCGCGCGAGTTTCAAGTTATCGATCGGCGGGCCGGCGCGCGTGACGTCACCGAGGATCACGCCACATCCCCGCCCACTACTTCTCGCCGTCCGATTGGCTCGCGCGCAGGCCGGCTGTCTATATTGAGATCTCGCGACCCGCGTAGCCGGCTGTACCGAGTCGGACTTGCCAACGGCTCGTGAGTTTCAGTGCGTCCACGACGTGCGTTTGTAACGTATAGATAGTGCGATGAGTCCCGTCTGACAATCGACGCACGTTGCACGTCCTGGAACGAGTTGATTCGCAGATCATTCGGCCGAGCGTTTTCAGCAGCGAGAGCGCCGTAACTCTCTTTAAGCGTAAATCAGGTACGTAATCCGGCGGACGGATATTCCTGCCTCGCGAAAGTTGAACGAAGTCTGTTACGCGCCCAGGAAGCTACGGGTTTGTTGATATCGTGTCATTTTGCGCGAGTTTAAACGAACGCACGGATGCTTCGTCCTCGATTCCGACACCTCTCGTTTGTGTACTAACGATGTTTACTAATATAAAAAAAAAAAAAAACTTGAAGCGTCCACGCGCACTCTCGAGTTATGACGAGCGAAGATTGGATTGTTTACTCTTTTAACGTGTACGTATATTACCGTATGGAATGTATGAAACAGATACGTATCTTCGTACATGACGTGTATACGGAAAGGTAGATTACTGTAGGTAGATCCGATAGCGATAATTGCTTGAAATTCGCGCGTTATTCGCGTAGATTGTTCAGAGATGACGTAGGTATAAAATGCACGTTTCTTGATCTTGACATCTGTCAGAAAGAATCGATTTTAAGTTTCTCAGCATCTTTCGATAGAGAGAGAGAGAGAGAGAGAGAGAGAGAGAGAAAGTGAGCGAGCGATGTGATTAATCTTTTCTAAACTAATAATTAATGACAACTGACAAAAAAAAAAGATGCGCGTTTTATTGTTATTAGCTCCCCTCTCATTTTTACCAATTAGATTAAATTTATAATTAAGAGAGTTAATTACCCTCTTTATCTTTCTCTAATTTAAAAAATTAAAATAAATTAAACCAAGATTCTCGAAGTTAATCTACATTGATAGAAGTAGACATCGTAGGTCTATTTTGTACAGCTGGACCAATGCATACTTTTGGAACTTCAAACCAAAGTATGTAAGTATGTTTCCTATTTGGCGAAAGTTCGAAAAAAAAATCGAATGCATTCTATTGTGGAAAAAAAAGTCCTGTGACTATTGTGTGCAATTCCCCGTGTAAACAAATGACGCGCGTAATCGTTCCCCGCTTGAGTATCGTTTTTTTTTGCAGGTGATTTAAAATTTACTTCGTAATGCGGTATTTTTGGAACACGCCGCGAGCGCTACGTTTTGACCGACACGTGCGACTCCGTAAGTGACCGGCGCGACCATATTGCGGCCCGCAAAGAGGCCACGACCGATGCAGTACGATAATGGAGAGAGAGAGAGAAAGAGAAAGAATAGCAGGGCATCCGTTCGAGAAAATCATCTACCGTTGACTTGACTGATATTTTATTTGCTGCACGACGAATTTTTCGAGCGTATTGATTAATGACTACGAGATAGACGGGCTTCCAGAAAATCTAGAGCATCTCTATTCTACCGTCAGTTAATATGATTGAAGAATGTGTCGTACGATAAATAAAATATTAGTTTATTTATGCCCGTGGCACATTTTCATATTATACAATGTTATGCATTTTTTATTTGATTGCCTGCGTTTTAGTAAATTAATAGAAATTCTACGTGAATTCTGGGTGATGCAATTCTATTTATTAAAACGTAAACAATTTAGCAGGAAAAAATACGTCTTGTGCCGCTGGCAGGCTTTTGTTTGTTTAATTTTGATCTCGATTTAATTTTTCTCTCTCGCTCCCGATTGGTCATCTCCAAATTCTCCTTTGTATCTTCACTGTTCATTTTTATCAATATAGATTAACATCAAACGTTTTATTGTACTCTTTGCTTTTTCTTATTCTTGCAATCGGAAAAAGATAAAAACTATAGAGATTAAAGTTAATTCTAGAATCATCGAAGATGCCAAATGATAATTTCTTACTCTTGTTTTTGGTTAGTAAAAAGTTATTTTTGTTATTATTTATTATTTATTATATATTATTAAAACTATTTTCGTATTATTATTATATATATACATATTTTCAAGATTTTGTCCTGTATATCTAACACAAAAAAGAAAAAGAGTTGAAATAATATCAGAGTAAAAATGGCATCATCCGCAATTTAATCAATATTGGCAGAAGTGGACAGTAAAACCACAAAGGAGAATTTTAAGCATAAAAGTATACACACGAGAAAACAGATTTGTTTTACTCTTTTATTTTAACGATATATAATTTTTCAATGAGACGTTCTGATTACCGAAGACTTTAAATTCTTCAAAGAAATCCGCGAAACTCTCGATCGTATCGAAAACAGTGTTTGTTTATTTATTAGCGCAAGTACTTTTGACACTGTTCTTCAATGTCGACTCGATGTTTGGCAAGAGTCAGATGTATGTTATTGCCGTTTGCTGAATATTTCACAGATTTCACAGTACGTCATATTTATACACTGTTTAGCGAAAACCAAACGCGCTTACACATTCACTTTCGAAACGTAATCGAGGATGAGACAGCAGTGAAAATCGAAGGTCTGTTTTCTGTAGCTGAACTAACGTACACTTTTGGAACTTAACGTGAGATAGGTAGATGTTTGACATTTGTCGAAAGCGAGAAAGGGCGCTCTAGTGCAGTTCATTGCAGGAACAGCAGGCAGATAAAAAATCGACCGAATTTTTTAATTAATCGTTTTACAAGGAAAAGAATTTAAAGTGAAGCGCGCATCTCTTCGTACTATGAAGGTAGCCTTTTCACAACGCGTGTTTGGAAACTCGAGATCGTAAAGCAAATCTAATTAGGCTTCGTCTTTCAGTCTAAGGTTTTTATTTAGTCTTTTAAGCCGGTATTTATAATCAGTTGTTAAATTTGAA